TTGCAGTGAGCTGAGATCCGGCCACTGCACTCCAGCCTGGGCGACAGAGCGAGACTCCGTCTCAAAAAAAAAAAAAAAAAAAGAAAAGGAAATACTCAACCATCATATAGGAATAATAGTCTTGACAGAAATTGCTACACCTACTCATTGCTTACCTGAAGACTGTGGTCTCCAGGTAGCATGTGGGTGCCATCTTGTTTCTAGGCTTTGAGAAGTAGCTTCAGTAATGGAAGATATGAATGCTGGTCCCTCAGTTGGATTGACTGAGGCAGCCCAAATCTTGGAACAACTTTCTTTAATAGCACCTTTGCCACCTGATGTGCAGGGTCACTGCAGGTGGCAAAGGTTTCTACCCACCCTGAAAAGGTGTCAATGAAGATCAGGAGGTATTTAAAGTTTCCCAAGGCTCTGGGCATAACTATGAAATCAACTTTCTCATCTTCCCCTGGACATCTACCTTGGAACTGAACCAGCTGAGGAGCCTTCTGAGTTCCTCTCACCCCTGCTATCCCCCCATGGGGTGGGTATCAGGGGTTATTAACATAGCAGGTGGGATGAGTCCCAACCACCTTTTTGATTGACTCCCTGAAGTTTGGGACAGTCATGCTTTCACAAAACCGGTTATAAAGGATTTTCTCACCAAAGTGGGTGTTAGAGTGAACTTTTTTAATGGCCTGCAGTGCAACTGTTTTTAGGAAAAGAAATTGTCCACGACGGTTTATTAGCCATCCTGGATGGTCAGGATTCTTGGTATAAGCCCATTTGGTGGCCTTTTTCCATTCCTTTTGAGAGAAAACGGGGGTTAAAAGAGCAGGACCCAAGAAGAAAGGGAAAAGTGGCATTTGAAATGTGACCTTCCCTAAAGCTGCCTGCTTTGACGCTAGGTTGGATTTATTATTTTCTTTAATTACCTCAACGTCCCATTTCTGGTGACTGTAGCAATGGACTATTGCCATGTAGGCTGGTTTTCTTCCAGCTTCCAATAATCTTAAAATGATGGCACTACCTGTTTATTATGAGTTTAACCTGTCCCTTTCCTTCCAAATAACCCCATGTGGGTGTAAAATGAAATACACGTGCCTGGAATCAATGTATATGGTGAGGACCTTCCCTTCACCCAACTCTAATGCCTGGGTTAGAGCAACAAGCTCTGCTTTCTGTGAAGAGCATCCTGGCGAGAAAGCACTGGCTTGTATAACTTCAGTGGGAGAGAACATAGCACATCCTGCCCTTCTCTGTACCTCTTGCAGATTGCTGCTCCTATCGGTGAACCATTTGACTTCCACATTTTCAGTAGGCTCACTTTTAAGGTCTGGGCTACTGGTGTACATGTCACCGTCACCCCTAAGCAGTTATGAGATAGGTAGCCATCTTCAGATGGAAGGAGGGTGGCAGGGTTCAAGCTGTTACACACCTTCAAAGTTATGTGGGGGTCATCAATAAGCATTACCTGTAACTGGAAAGCCCTGCCTTGGGACAGTCCTTCTGCCCCCTTTCTTTTAGGAGAGTCTGGGTATGGTGGGGAGTCCAGACAGTTAACTTTTCGGTCTCTTTTGGAAGGATGGCCATGACCATCCCCAACCAAAGGCAAGGTGGCCATCCTTTAGCAACTGAGTCCAGCTGCTTGGAAAAGTACATCATCACCCAGGTCAGTGGGTCCAATCTTTAAATATGTATTCCTAGGGCAATTCTTCCCCTCTCATGAATGTAAACGTGGAAAGGTTTGCTTAAGTCAGGTAGGGCTAATTCTGGGTCCCTCGTGAGCTGGGTTTTCAGCTTTTTGAATGCTTGATCACATTCTGCCATCAGATCCTCCAGCTTCATGGCTAGGGACTCTCCAGATATTTTGGGGGAGTTTTTGAACACCTGGGTCAACACAGTCAAAGTTAGTTGCTGTTTCCTGCCTGTCTGAGGATCCTGCCATTTGAAAGTGAAGAGGGGCTGGGAGTCTGTGGCCAGCAGGATGCAGAAAAAGTCATCTTTTAGATCCAGGTCTGAGTACCATGTGCAACTTGGAGGCAGAGTGGACCATACAGTATAAGGGTTAGGTACACTGGGTTTATGTTTTCTGTGACCTCACTAATTGTCCTTAAGTCTTACACTAATTGGTATTTTCCATTTGATTTCTTAACAAGTAGGATAGGAGTATTGCAAGGGGATTGACAGGCCCTCAGAAGTCCCTGTTTTCTAAGCTCTTTAATCATTGGGGCCATCCCTTTTAGTGCGTCTCATTTGATCTAGTTTATATTTTAGGATCTCAATAAAGGGGCTATCTTTTGCCTTCCCTCACATTTCCATAGGCAATTTTGGTGGGTAACCTTATCCTTGGGGGTGTTCAAAACCAAGTAGGTGGCCCCCTGTGTTGACCAAGAAGTCAACAGGCTTGTTCCCCATGCCCAGTGTCAGCCTGGGCTCCTAGCAGGACGGACACCTGGAGGGCCAATTGAGGAGTACCCAGGACCTGTCAATCTTTTTTTTCTACTTGGACCATCTGCCTCTGTGAGGCACCTGGTAGGACCTACCCTCTTCCCCCTCCCTTCAGACATAAAGGAGACAATCCCTTTTCCAGTGATCCTCCCCCTTATAGAGGGCACGTTGGTTTTGTCCTAGTCCCTTAGGTCTTTAGGATCCTTTCTGTTAGTTAGGGGACCAGTAATCACTCACTTCAGTTGTGGTACTTTATGGATAGGTATCCTGTGAGTTTTCCGGCTGGCACTCGAGAGTAACAGCCAGTAGTGGGCTTGCCATTTGTCCTCTCTGTCTTCTTTATGTTCTTTCTCCCTATCCCAGTTGTTGGACACCTTACTGGCCAGGTCTACTAGTCTTGAGATGAGAGCATCGAGCCCTAATTTTACTTTTTGGAGTGTATGTCTAATGTCCGCTGTGCTCTGAGAGCTAAAATAGGATTGTTTGTCTCTTCTCTATGGGATTGGTCCACTTCCTCCCTTACCCTTTTGAGGGCAGAGGTATTTTTCTGTTTCACTGAGGAGAATATCAAAAGGGATTGAACATCTGCCCAGTTGAGGTCATGGGTCCAAAACTATTCTGAATGAGGTTTTGAAACCCCTCAGATCTTCCCTTAGTCCTTTAGAATGAGACTTTCAGTTGTAAAGCTCTGAAGTTGTGAAGGGAAAATGTACAGCAAACATCTCTTTCCCCACTGGGGACCTGCTGGAAGGGGCATCATAGAGTAAGACTGGTAAATGTCCTGCTCCAGGTAGTGGTTGGGCTAGGTCCCTGAGAGGAGTCTGAAGGTGATTGGTAAGGAGGGAGTGTGTTGCCTGCAGAGGCCACTGAGAATAAGGGAGCTATAGGTCAAAGATTATAGAATTAAAAATAAAAAACTCTTACAATTTCATTAATAGTAAATTAACACCATAAAGGGGCCAAGAGAGGTGGCTCACACCTGTAATCCCAGCACTTTGGGAGGCTGAGGCAGGTAGATCACGAGGTCAGGAGTTCAAGACCAGCCTAGCCAATGTGGTGAAAGCCCTGTCTCTACTAAAAACACAAAAAAAATTAGCTGTCCTGGTGGTGGGCACCTGTAATCCCAGCTACTCGGGAGGCTGAGGCAGAGAATTTCTTGAACCCAGGAGGTGGAGGTTGCAGTGAGCCGAGATCACCACTGCACTCCAGCCTGGGTGACAGAGCGAGACTCTGTCTTTAAAAAAAAAAAAAAAAAAAAAGTAATACCATCAAGAAACCTTGTTTTAACATAGGGCACTGATCTCAGAAATACTTACGAATAATTTCTTATTAATTATAGCCAACTTAATCATATACAAAATTCCTTTTATAAATTTTCTTCCACAGACTTGATCATGACTTTTACAGACCATCTATGACATGCTTGGACCTTTTGATTTGTTCTATAATACCTCTTTTAAAACAATTGGTCATTTTATTTTAGGACAAAACTTTACCACATGAAATCCTTTTCTTATATAAAATTATTTTCTTTTCTTACCAAAAATATATCTTTATGTCTACAAATCTTTTATCTCTCTCTCTTTCTCTCTCTTACTCGTTCCTTTCTACCTTTTAAAATAAATAACTTTTAAATAACCTCCAAACTACATAAAATTACTGTTTTCTCAATAAAAATACAAGTTACAGAGTTATATATTATTGCAATTCTTACTTTTAGTAAACTTAAATTTTAGTGAAAACTCAGGAAGCAATAAATCTTGAACTGTTTATCAGATGTTAGCAATTTGTAGCTGAAACCATTCTATAATTTTTAGAAACATGTTTTTTTCATATTATAACCCATTTTTAATTGGAAAACACCCCAACATCTAATGAGTATTCATTATTCAATTCAAAATAATTATAAGATTTTAAATGATATGAAAAGTTTGTCTACAAGCACTTTTCCCATTTATATGTACTTAGTTCTTTCATTTTTTTTAAGGATTCTTTCTTTTCTATTGTGAGGTCAAATTTACATACATCAAAACATACAAGTCTTAAGGATATTATTCAATGAGTTTTGGAAAATATGTACACCTGTGTAACTCAAATCTCTATTAATATACAAAACCATATTGTCAATCCCAAAATTCCCTCCTGCTGCTCATCAATCAGTCTCCAACTCTGTCTCATTAGAGGCAACCACCAATTTATTTTCACCACGCATTAATTTTGCTTGTTGTAGAATTAGCATGAATAGAATGACACAGCATACATTCTTTGTGTAACTCTTCTTTCACTCAGCATGTTTTTCTATATTCATCCATTTTATTGCATGTATAGGCAGTTTGTTCCTTTTTTGCTGAGTAGTGTTCCATCGCATGAACCTACCATACTTTGGTTATTTTTTCTCTTATTGATTGACACCAGGGCTGTTTCCAGATTTTTGGCTATTATGACTATAGCTGCTAAGAACATTCATGTACAAGTTTTTTGTTGTTGTTTTGTTGTTTTTTTTTTTCATATGTGGCCATATGTTTTTATTTCTCTTGGGTAAATACTTAAAAATGAAATCACTGGATTATGTAGTAGGTATATGTTTAGGGGTTTTTTTTTATTTCCAACTTTTATTTTAAAGTCAGGGTTACATGTCAGGATGTGTAGGTTTGTTACATAGATGTGTGCCATAGTGGTTTGCTGCACAGATCATTCCATCCCGTAGGTATTAAGCCCAGCAGGCATTAGCTATTCTTCCCAATGCTCTCCCTCTCACTCCACACCCTGCAACAGGCCTCAGTGTGTATTGTTCCCCACCATGTGTCCGTGTGTTCTCATCATTCAGCTCCCACTTATAAGTGAGAACATGTGGTATTTGCTTTTCTGTTCCTGCATTAATTTGCTGAGGATAATGGCTTCTGGTTCCATCCAGGTCCCTGCAAAAGACATGATCTTGATCCTTTTTATGGCTGCATGTTATTCCTTGGTGTATACGTACCACATTTGCTTTATCAAGTCTGTCATTGATGGGCATTTAGGTTGATTCCATGGTTTTGCTATTTTGCAATGAACATGCACGTGTATCTTTATAATAGAATGATTTATATTCCTCTGGGTATATACCTAGTAATGAGAGTGCTGGGTCAGATGGTATTTCTTCCCCTAGGTCTTTGAGGAATCACCACACTGTCTTCCAAAATGGTAGAACTAATTTACACTCCAACCAACAGTATAAAAGTGTTCATTTTTCTTCACAACCTTGCTATCATCGGTTGTTTTATGACCCTTAAGTAATAGCTATTCTGACTGGTGTGAGATGCTGTCTCATTGTGGTTTTCATGTGCATTTCTCTAATGATCAGTGGTGTTGAGCTTTTGTTTTAAAAAATGTTCGTTGCCTACATAAATGTCTTCTTTTGAGAAGTGTCTGTCCGTGTCCTTTGCCCACTTTTTAATGGCGTTGTTTGTTTTTTTCCTGTAAATTTGTTTAAGTTCCTTGTAGACACTGGATATTAGACCTTTGGCAGATGGATATATTGCAAAAATTTTTCTCCCATGCTGTAGGTTGTCTGTTCACTCTAATGATAGTTTCTTTTGCTGTACAGAAGCTCTTTAGTTTAATTAGATTCCATTTGTCAATTTTTGCTTTTGTTGCTACTGCTTTTGGCATCTTTGTCATGAAATCTTTGCTTGTACCCATGTCCTGAATGGTATTGCCTAGATTTTCTTCTAGGGTTTTTATAGTTTGGGTTTTTACATTTAAGTCTTTAATCCACCTTGAGTTGATTTTTGTATATAGTATAAGGAGGGGCTCTAGTTTCAACTTTCTTCATATGACTAGCCAGTTCTCCCAACACCATTTATTAAATAGGGACTCCTTTCCCCATTGCTTGTTTTTGTCACATGCGCACACGACACACAAACATCCAAAAGCTTTTACCTCAGAATTTTAGCCATGAGATAGCAATACAAACTCACAAATTATTTCTAACAAAATTGGAACCTGTTCACATGGCTGAACTTTGTTTGCCCTGATAAGTAATTCAGTGAAAGCTGTGGACCAAAATTTTGGGCAAAGCAGTTTTCATGGTAGTTTTGATTGTAAAAACTTCTTTTTCATTTTTTTCTTCAGCTTCAGACAAGTTTCCAGTATTGCCATTTCAGTTAGACCATAAATAATAAGTGTTATTTCAGCACCAGCAACTTAATAACAGCAGATCCAAAGCTGGCAGAGAAGAAAATAAGGAAGATACAGAGCTTTAGAAGACTCTACTTAACTCTGTAGGAGCAGATTAACCATTTACGCTCTAAATTTTCCTTACTGTGCACAAAACCAATATTGACCATTGCACTCAGGCATCCCTGGTGTCTTATTGAGGCCAGTGGGCATCACTGGCAGCCTGTCTCAGGTAGTCTCCCATAGGTACCTTAACCTCATAATGGAGATTTCTTCCAATCCCCCAAAAGTGATCCCTTAACCTCACAGCCTCTGAATCGTCCTCCTTTTGGTACAGCAGCCAAGGCCACCTTGTCTTTAGGGCCTCAGGGAGGAGGAAGAGGAGGAGGAGGAGGAGGAAGAGGTGAAGGAGGAGGAGAAGAAAGAGGTACTTTTAAGAAGGGGAGAATCCAGGTTCCTCCAGTGCATGGAAACTGGCATATAGGAGGTTTCCACAGGCATAAGAGAACAAACTCTAAGAGGAATAAACAGAAAGAAATAGAAAAGAACACACACACATAAAAGACTTGCTGGCAGGTCATTTCCTGGTTCTGTAGTCTACACTGTTAACCCTTCAGTTCCTCTCTCACCTTTCTAAGGACAGTTTTCTTTAAATCAATGTAGTAATAAATTTTGTCATGCTTTCAGCTCACCCTCACATAGTCACAACTTATTTATTTATTTATTATTTGAGACATAGTCTCACTCTGTTGCCCAGGCTGGAGCGCAGTGGCACGATCTCAGCTCACTGCAACTTCCACCTCCTGGGTTCAAGCCGTTCTCATGCCTCAGCCTCCTGAGTAGCTAGGTCTATAGGCGTGCACCACCACACCCAGCTATTTTTTTAAAAAAATATTTTTAGTGGAGAGGGAGTTTCACCATGATGATTAAGCTGGTCTCAAACTCTTGACCTCAGGTCATCTGCCTGCCTCGGCCTCCCAAAGTGCTGGGATTACAAGTGTGAGCCACCATGCCTGGCCGAGCCACTGTTCCCGGCCTCTTTAAATCAAAAGAGTAATAAATTTTGTTGGCTGGGCGCGGTGGCTCAAGCCTGTAATCCCAGCACTTTGGGAGGCCGAGATGGGTGGATCACGAGGTCAGGAGATCGAGACCATGCTGGCTAACACGGTGAAACCCCATCTCTACTAAAAAATACAAAAAAAAAAATTAGCCGGGCGAGGTGGCGGGCGCCTGTAGTCCCAGCTACTCGGGAGGCTGAGGCAGGAGAATGGCATGAACCCAGGAGGCGGAGCTTGCAGTGAGCTGAGATCCGGCCACTGCACTCCAGCCTGGGTGACAGAGCGAAACTCCGTCTCAAAAAAAAATAAAATAAATAAAAATAAATAAATTTTGTCATGCTTTCAGCTCACCTTCACGTAGTCACAGTTTAGTTTAATCTTTATGTAGACAAGACTCCTAAAATCTTAAAACAAAGATGGTGTGTTTGTCTGCTTGCTTTCTGATGATGCCCTACTCTGTAATGGAATAGCTTCTAATAAACTTGCCTTTTTCACCGTGCTCTGTGACTTGCCTTGAATTCCTTCCTGTGCGAGATCCAAGAACCCTCTTTTGGGATTTGGATCAAGACCCTTTTCTGGCAATGCTTTCATTTGCCTGCTCTTTGTCCCACTCATCCTGGGCATATGGTCAGCCTCCCTGCCCCTCACTGCCTGGGGGAACCTTTAGTGGACTCACTGAGCAAGCTCGCCTCACTTGCCCATGGGTGAGCAGCCAGACGGGAAGCTTTGCTTGGTCATTCCTGGGCCTAGAGGACCGACCCGCTGTCCAGTGGGGATCAGCCTCCAGCTTTGGCACCACTCATGCCCATCCTGCAGCAGTGGCATCCAGCTTCGGGGGCTCCACTGTTCTGTCATTCCAGCCTGGGTGACAGAGCAAGACATCATCTCTAACAAAGTTAAAAAAAAAAAAAAAAAAAAGAAAAAAAAATTTGGAAGAAAATTCCACCAAGTTCCAAAAACCACAATTTAAATTTGCCATGTGTGCTGTGTACTGTCAAATCCACAAGAATGATGTGTAGGTACTGTACTAGGTAATGTAAGTAATCTAGAGATGAATTAAAGTATGCCTAAGCATGTGCATAGATTATATGCAAATACTATGCCATTTTACATGAGCCTTCAGTGTCCACAAAATTTGATATCCTGGAGGTCCTAAAACAAATCCCCCAGGAATACTGAGGGAAGCCTTACACACATACACATATACATTCCTTCTTCAGGTATAAAGAAACATTGGTGTGACACTTCAGATCAGTTACAGTGGTTACCTATGTTTTTGGGGTAAAATTTTGGTGAATGGTGCACACGTGGTGTGAGGAACGGTTTTCACAGACTACCACATATTTTCAAATTTTTGAAATTATCTAGTTTATTATTTTTTATTTTTACCACCTATCCTCAAGTTCTAAGTAACATATTAACTCTCCAAAACTTACATAAGGCGTTAGTTTTTTTGTTGTTTTGTTTGTTTTTGTTTTTGTTTTTTTGAGACGGAGTCTTGCTCTATCGCCCAGGCTGGAGTGCAGTGGCGCGATCTCGGCTCACTGCAACCTCCGCCTCCCGGGTTCAAGCAATTCTCCTGCCTCAGCCTCTCGAGTAGCTGGGACTACAGGCGCCCACCACCAACAGAAGGCGTTAGTTTTAAGGAGGAAGGTCACAGGAGCGCCCTCCTTCGTCGCCGCCCTTCTCCTCGCAGTCCCAACCCTATCCTCGTGTCTCACAGGGCACTTGGCTGCGAGCGGCTGCGGTTCCTCAGCCCCCTGCACCGCAGAGCGCACGCGCAAGCCGGCCACGGCGCATGCGCTGCTGGTTTTGGTCGGGGCGTGGAGACGTTCAGTCAGGCCAGGGCGTGAGGCATGCGAGGTGAGTTCACTGGGCCCCGGGGCAGGAGAGCGGCCGGCGCGAGGGCAGCCCAGCCAGCGGCCTGGGCGGGGCTGGAGCCCCAGTGGACGTGAGGGCGCGAGAGGCATCCAGTGCAGGGCAACGCGCGGCTTCGTGAGGGAGACTCCGCGGCGGGTCCTACTGGGGCCTTGTGGAAAAGCCACTCCAGAGGCGAGGGCTGCGTCTGACTGCCCTAAAATCACTGCCCTTGCAGGGAGGGACCCAGGACGGCCCTGCGCTGGTGGGCCCGGAACTCACCCCAAGGCTGGAGGCTGAGGCCTGACAATCACTTGAGCCCAGGAGGCAGGGATTGCAGTGAGCCAAGATTGCGCCACGGCACTCCAGCCTGGGCGACTGAACGAGATTCTGCCTCCAAAAAAAAAAAAGAAAGAAAAGAAACACCCCAATGGAAAGAAGCACAAAGGACATGAACAATTTATAATTGGCTAGTAAATCCGAAACAAAGAGAAAGCCGTATTATTAATCAAAAGAAATGTAAAATTAAGGAATAAAATGATATATTTTTAAATCTGGCTAATTGACAACAGATTTTGAGGGATGATAATATTCTTGATTGGCAGAACCAGTTACATAATTTGCAGGGCCTAGTGCAAAATGAAAATGTGGAGCTCCTTGTCCAAAAAATTGTGAAAAATTTCAAGAGAGTGACAGTAAAGCCTTAAACTAGGCCTGTGGGCTTTATGAGAATGGGGCCCTTGTGACTGACCTAATTACAGGCCCATGAAGATGGCACTGTTGGCTTGTAAGGTGGACTGTGACGTAATCTTACACATTGAGTTTGGAAGAAGTTGGTAGAAGCCATTGAAAGGAAAATTTGGCAGATTGTGTCAAGGACTTTTAAAAACAGTTTATCCCTTTTGTCTGTGTAATTTGAGAACAAATACTTAGCTTCAGTGATGTTCATTATATTATGATTTATAATAATGGAAAACAAAAATAAATGCTTTCAAATGGAAAAACTGTTAAATTATAGAAATAAAAGGTGTAAGTTTTAGTGGGGAGAAGAAAAGAAAAAAATGTTTCCCCCAAGTGGCATCTTTGTTCATGGTTTCTTAGAGTGAGTGTAGCCTTTATGGAAGGTATGTTTTATTTATCTGATTACAGAAGAAATGAAGGTTTGTTGTAGAACATCTTGAAGCCAGAAAATAGTTTTGACAGAGAAAGTACAAAATCACCTGTAAAAATTACTTATAATATTACTGTTCTTCCTTAACACTGGCGCAGTATTTTGGTTTACCGCCTTTTCTGTGCTTTATATGGTTAAGCGTATAGTGTTATGTACAGGTTTCCTTTTTCCACTGATACTATGACCTAGACGTTTTCCTACAACTGTAATACAGCTAAAAAATGTTTAGCGACATACACATACGGAAAAGGGCACAAACCACAAATATGTAGCTCAGTTTTCAGAAAGTGAATACACTGTGTCCAGATCATTCCTAGCTTTCCAGAAGCCCTCATGCCTGGTTCCAGTCATTACCACTCTTCCCCCTAACAGCAGCCACTATTCTGAATTCTAACACTTTAGGTTTATGTTGCCTGTTTTTGACCTTTATATAAATGGAATCATATAATATGGACCTTTTTTTGAGTCTGGTTTCTTTCATTCAACAGCAACTTACATTCGTATTTTTTGTTTAGTATTCCAGTATAGAAATATATCAGCCTACTGTGGCTCTATCTCCTTGCCAACACTTGGTATTGTCTGACTTTTTCATTTTGGACGTTTTGGAGGGTGTGTAGTGTTACCCTATTGGGGTTTTAATTCCTATATCTCTGATAACTAATGAAGTTTAGCCTTGTTTTATGTTGATTGGCTATTTATAGCTGTCATCTTTTGTGTCATACTTGCTCAGATCACCTCCACTCCACTGTCTAATCATAACTCTGCAGGCTAGTTGTAAGTCTCTACATAATTTCTGCAGTTCCTGAGGTTTCTGTATCCTTTCAGCTGATACAACTCTGCCCACCATCTTCCACAGCATTGTGTACCAGAGCAGCCTGCCTTTAAGAGTAGCTCTGTCTTGTAAAGGGCCAAGGTGTAGAGATGCCGGATGTGACAGGAGTTTTGGATATCTTGAGGAATCCCTAAATCTTTTGTATGCGTGGTCAAGAGAAGAAACTAGAAACAGAGACACTGAAAGTTTCTCCTCAAAAGTTTGGGGATTTTCAGTACCTGTCAGTGAATAGGCCTTATCAAGCTGTGAGCCAAATCCAGGAGTTCTGCTTGCAATGGCTGCAACTGGAGCTCCTCACTAAGGAGCAGATGATAGAGCAACTAGTGCTGGTACAGTTTCTGAGCATCCTGCCAGAGGAGATTCAGACATGGGTTAGGTCAAAACAGCCGAAGAACAGCAAAGAGGCAGGAACCATGGTGGCAAACTTTATTCAGGCATGTGAGAAGGAAGGTGAGAAGGAGGAAGCAACTGGTTGCTTCTATTTATTGAATATCTGCTGTATGCCTGGCACATAATGGGAGCTGAATAGAAATTTGTTGAGTGAATGAATGAAATAATGCATTTTATACATTCAGTCTGATCTGCCTAATCTCATGTGAGATGAAAGAAATTTGGGGTTTGGGTAATTTTTAAATTTTTATTTTAAGTTCAGGGATGCATTTGCAGGTTTATTACATGGGTATATTGGATGATGCTGAAATTTGGGCTTCTAATGATTCTATCACCCAAGTAGTGAACATAGTACTGGATAGGCAGTTTTTCAACCTTTGCCCTCCTTCCTCCTTACCCCCTTTTGGAATTCTCCATGTTTATTTTTCCCATCTTAGTGTCCATGTATACCCAATGTTTAGCTCCCACTTAAAAGCGGAAACATGTAGTGTTTGGTTTTCTCTTTTTTTTTTTTTTTTTTTTTTTTTTGAGATGGAGTCTTGCTCTGTCACCCAGGATAGAGTGCAGTGGCACGATCTGAGCTCACTGCAACCTCCACCTCCCGGGTTCAAGGAATTCTGCCTAAGCCTCCTGAGTAGCTGGAATTACAGGCGCCCGCCACCACACCTGGCTAATTTTTGTATTTTTAGTAGAGACGGAGTTTCACCATGTTGCCCAGGCTGGTCTTGAACTCCTGACCTTGTGATCCACCCACCTCGGCCTCCCAAAATGCTGGAATTATAGGCATGAACCACCGTAGATTCTGTATTAATTTGCTTAGGATAATGGCTTCGGCTGCAACCATGTTGCTGCAGAGGACATGATTTCATTCCTTTTTATGCCTGTGTGGGTTTGGTTTTTGCTTTTAACATTTACTATTTCTCTGAGTGTACCAGCTTTGTTCACCTTGCCTCACATTTCTTATCCAGTGTAAACCTTAGTTTCAACACAAAACAACACACACACACTACAAAAAAAAATCTCCTGGGATTGCTTGTGGCATTAATATAGTAAGTATAAATTTGGGAAAATTGGTCTTTACATTATTTAGTCTTTCTATTCAAGAACAAGAATGATTAGCTAAATTTTAGATGCAAGGGGGCATAAAATGTGGGAGATACAAAGACTGGAAGTTCAACTTCTGCCAAAATTTGACTGGTATCTTAGAAACTCAAGTTATTAGATTAGAGCTAAGGAGGTATTTCTAGAATGAGAAAAGAAAGTCACTGGGTCCTTATAGTCCTTTGAAAAAAGTAATACTAACTAAAAGCAAAATATTGTTTGGGGCATATATATAGCAAGGGAAAAATGAATACAAACACCAGACCTCAGAGCATAGTTATCTCTAGCGGGAAGGCTGGAGTATGGACATGAAAGAAGCACACAGGCAGATGTAAGTTATTGGGAATGTTCTAGTTTTGGGTTGGATAGTAAATTCACAGGCCTTAATTATACTTAAAAATAAAAACAAATGGATTTAAAATAATCACGAGGGCCATGCATGGCTCAATAAAGATAGCATATCATGAACTAAGGATTATGATTAATCCCATTCTCTGTTCCCACATTACTTAAAAGAATTTAAAAAATGCTGACGGTGAACACTTGAGCACTTAGAATGTTTTAATGTATTATCACAGGTGTTCTTTCATGTTAATTCATTTTCTTCTATTAATAGTTCTGTGAAATAGGTATTACCTTCGTTTCATAGACCAGGAGCCAGAAGCATAAAGAGGTTGAGTAACTTGACCGTGGTTCCACAACTTATAATAATAATTGGCAGTCAGGATTCAGACTTAGGCTGCTGGCTCCAGCATCTGTACTCTTAATCACGGTGTTACAGTGAGTGCCTCATATAGATATAGTGGATGTTGTCCCAGAGGCTAAAAACTTGGCCAGAGGCACTGAGTTATTGATGAAGCTAGAGTTCAGTGAGAAGGAAAGAGAGTTCCCTAGGGTACCAGAAATAAACAACAGATTAATGAAGGGTTTACCCAGAAAAGAGAATATATAGGCAAGGAAGGCCATCAAGGTTAAGGCTCCTGAGGGAACGTGGTGGTTGTCTTTTAGATCAATGAGTGAAAAATATGTAGGAAAGGCTTAATCATAAGAGCTGCCATTTACCAAACAAAATACCTGCTATGTGCCTTACATATATAATGTTTAATTCTCACAAGAGCCCTTAGAGGTATAGTATACTCCCCTTATCTGAGGGGCATACATTCTAACACACTTGAAAGTGTGGATAGTATCAAACCCTATACATACTATGTCTTTTCCTCTACATACATACTTATGATGAAGTTTATTAATTAGGCACAGTAAGATATTAACAACAACTAGTTATAAAATGGAACAATTATTAGGCCGGGCGCGGTGGCTCAAGCCTGTAATCCCAGCACTTTGGGAGGCCGAGACGGGCGGATCACGAGGTCAGGAGATCGAGACCATCCTGGCTAACACGGTGAAACCCCGTCTCTACTAAAAAATACAAAAAAAAAAAACTAGCCGGGCGAGGTGGCGGGCGCCTGTAGTCCTGGCTACTCGGGAGGCTGAGGCAGGAGAATGGCGGGAACCCGGGAGGCGGAGCTTGCAGTGAGCTGAGATCCGGCCACAGCACTCCAGCCTGGGTGACAGAGCGAGACTCCGTCTCAAAAAAAAAAAAAAAAAAAGGAACAATTATAACAGTAGGTTAGCGTCACTACTTATGTGCTTTGGGGGCATTATTAAGTAAAATAAGGGCTACGTGAACACAAGCACTGCGATACCATGACAGTTGATTTGATAACCAAGACAGCTAATAAGTGACTAACAGGTAGGTAGTGTATACAGAGTGGACACACTGAGGATTCATGTCCCAAGTGGGACAGAGCAGGAAAGTGTGAGATTGCATAACCAGAATGGTACACAATTTATAACATATGAATTATTTATTTCTGGAATTTTCCATTCAATATTTTTGACCCCCAATTGACCATGGGTAACTGAAACTGCAGAAAGCAAAACCTCAGATAAGTGTATACTACTGTATAGGTATTGTCATTATTTCTGCTTTACAGTTGAGAAACAGAGGTTCTGTTTTCCTTTTTCACCATAGCCCTCCATGGGCTTCCAAATATCACTTTGCAAATTCCACAAGAACAGTCTTAGCGAAAGGCTTCTTGAGGGGAAAGCTGTAACTCTGTGAGATGATTTCACAGAACACAAAGAAGTTTCTCAGAAAGCTTCTTTCTCTTTGTTATCGGAGGATATTTCCTTTGGCCCTATAGTCTTCAAAGGGCTGATCTTGATTGGACAGTGAGGCCCGAAATGACTGATATGGAGGGAACTTTCACTTTATTTGGAAGGCATGGGAGCCATTGAAGCATTTAGAGCTGGGAAATAACTAGAGCTCTTTTTTGGAACTTGTTATATTGAATTGAAAAATGATTTCTGTCTTTCTCACCGTAGGAACTCTAGAGCTGCTGTTCCTTCCCATGGCAGGACAGGGTGGCATGAGGGTGGCTGGCCACTGTGTCTGTCAGTGCTGCCAGACAGGACTCAATTCCATGGTTATTCCTCTTTCCCTTCTAGGTTTCCTTGCTCAGGACTCTGTCCCTGCAGAAAAGAGGAACACAGAGATGTTAGACAATCTGCCATCTGCTGGGTCCCAGGTGAGTCAGGCTTTCCTCTGACATGGTTATCAAATATGGGGATCTTATCTTCCTAATTTGTGGACTTCCTTATTTAATTGAACCACATCCTCATTTCCATTCAGTTTTTATTTAAATATCACTTTACTGAGCCTTTTTTCTGACTAATCTAACATTTGCTTATGATTCTTTTTTTTCTTATTTCTCCAAGAAAAATCCTTCTGACTCTTTTATCCTCCTTCCTTGCTTTACTTTTCTCTGTTGTGCTTATCACCAGCCCACATACTATTTATTTAATATTTTTCCTCTTTCCCTGTATTTTGAATTGTTTACTTTTTTTAGTATTCTATTTTATTTAAAAAAAACCCTTACGTGGTTTGCATTATTGTTGTACCCCTTTTTATGTATGAGGGAGTGGAAGCAGAAAGGCTAGGTAATATGCTAAAGGTCACACAGCTGTTAAATAATACAATTGAGACATGAACCCAGGCAGTCTGGCTTTACAGTCCACATTCATAACCCCTTAGTTATTGCTGCCTAATATAGTGCTGTTACTCCAACTTAGGCTGGCCAGATTAGCAAGTAAATATACACAATGCCCAAATTAAATTTGAATTTTGGATAAACTATGAATAAATTTTTAGCATAAGTATAAATATTTAGCATAAGTATGAAGTTTGAATTTCATATAAACAATTTTTTGTGTAAGTATGCAATGTTTAAGACATACTTATGTAAAAAACTATTGTTTATCCAAACTCTTCCAAGCTAAAGGAGCATGTTGTAACCCAGTGCAACGAAGCTAGGAACCTTGAAAAAAGGTTAGAGGAATTGCTCTCTATAATAACCAGTTTAGAGACAAACATAAATTACCTGATAGAGCTGAAAAACACAGCATGAGAACTTCATGAAGCGTACATAAGTATCAGTAGCAAATCGATCAAGCAGAAGAAAGGATATCAGAGACTGGAGATCAACTTAATGAAATAAAGCATGAAAACAAGATTAGATAAAAAAGAATGAAAAGAAATGAACAAAGCCTCCAAGAAACATGGGACTATATGAAAAGACCAAACCTACATTTGATTGGTGTACCTGAAAGTGATGGGGAGAATAAACCAAGTTAGAAAACACTCTTCAGGATATTATCCAGGAGAACTTCCCCAACCTAGCAAGACAGGCCAACATTCAAATTCAGGAAATACAGGGAACAGCACAAAGATACTCCTTGAGAAGAGCAACTCTAAGACGCATAATTGTCAGATTCACCAAAGTTGAAATGAAGGAAAAAATGTTAAGGGCAGCCAGAGAGAAAGGTTGGGTTACCCACAGAGGGAAACCCATCAGACTCACACAGATCTCTCTGCAGAAACCCTACAAGCCAGAAGAGAGTGGGGGGTTAATATTCAACATTCTTAAGGAAAATAATTTAGAACTCAGGATTAAGAAACTCACTCAAAACCGCACGACTATATGGGAACTGAATAACCTGCTCCCGAATGACTCAGTAAATAACGAAATTAAGGCAGAAATAAATAAGTTCTTTGAAACTGATGAGAACAAAGACACAATGTACCAAAATCTCTGGGACACAGCTAAAGCAGTGTTTAGAGGGAAATTTATAGCACTAAACACTAAATGCCCACAGGAGAAAGCAGGAAAGATCTAAAATTGACACCCTAACATCACAATTAAAAGAACTTATTTAGAGAAGCAAGAGCAAACAAATTCAAGAGCTAACAGGAGACAAGAAACAACTAATATTAGGGCAGAACTGAAGGAGATAGAGACACCAAAAACACTTCAAAAAATCAATGAATCCAGGAGCTCGTTTTTTGAAAAGATCAACAAAATAGATAGACTGCTCACCAGACTAATAAAGAAGGAAAGAGAGAAGAATCAAATAGACACAATAAAAAACGATAAAGGGATATCACCACTGATCCCACAGAAATACAAACTACCATCAGAGAATACTTTAAACACCTCTACACAAATAAACTAGAAAATCTAGAAGAAATGGGTAAATTCCTGGACACATACACCCTCCCAAGACTAAACCAGGAAGAAGTCGAATCCCTGAATAGACCAATAACAAGTTCTGAAATTGAGGCAGTAATTAATAGCCTACCAACCAAAAAAAGCTCAGGACCAGACAGATTCACAGCCAAATTCTACCAGAGGTACAAAGAGGAGCTTGTACCATTCCTTCTGAAACTATTCCAAACAATAGAAAAAGAGGTTCATTTTATGAGGCCAGCATCATCCGGATAGCAAAACCTGGCAGAGACAACAAAAAAAGAAAATTTCAGGCCAATATCCTTCCTGAGGCAGGAGGATCACCTGAGGTCAGGAGTTCAAGACCAGCCTGGCCAACCCCCATCTCTACTAAAAATACAAAAATTAGCTGGGCGTGGTGGCACATGCCTGTAATCCCAGCTACTCGGGAGGCTGAGGCAGGAGGATCACTTGAACTGGGGAGGCGGAGGTTGCAGTGAGCCAACATCACATTGCTGCACTCCAGCCTGGGTGAGAGTGAGACTCCATGTCAAAAAAAAAAAAAAAAGAAAAAAAAGATTTTTAATAGACACATAACAAAATTTGATCTTCACAAAACCCTATGATACAAAAAGTATGATGACCATTTATAGATCAAGGTCCAGATCAGAGATGTTACCTGTCTTGTGCAATGCAACTAAATAACAGTACAGGCTGGGTGCAGTGGCTCATACCTATAACCCCAGCACTTTGGGAGGCCAAGGCAGGCAGATCACCTTAGGTCAGGAGTTCAAGACCAGCCTGGCCAACATGGTGAAACCCCGTCTCTACTAAAAATACAAATATTAGCTGGGCGTGGTGAGACACACCTGTAATCCCAGCTACTTGGGAGTAGCACAAGAATTGCTTGAACCCAGGAGGTGGGTTCCCTCAGCAGGGAGCTGAGATTGCACCACTTCACTCCAGCCTGGGCGACAGAGGGAGACTCTATCTCAGAAAACAAACAAGAAAAAAAAGAAAAAAACAGTACAGTACTTGAACCCAGGTCTCTGAACTGCCAGCCCAGTGCTCTTCCCACCCAACACACTATCCATGAAATTGTCAAAGATTTCAGAAAACTCAGCCCCTTAAAACTTACTGAAATTCAAATTTAACTGGGCATGCTGAATTTTATCCGGCCATCCTATTTCAACTAAATTTTTGGATTTGGAGATTTGAGACAATGGGGTCCACTGGGAAGCATGGATAGGCTAGAATACCCCAGAATTTTTAAAAAAAGGAAAGGTAATTATGTCCTACCATATATTTCCTCCAAAATAATGAATAATATTTTAATGAAATCATCAAACATAAAACTTTTTTCTCATTGTACAAGACTATACAAATGATTCTGGTAGTGTCATCATCTGTTTGTTTATTCACCAATGTCTACCGGTCAGGTTCTGTTTGAGGGAAAAAAGAATGTTCTTAGAACCATATAGGAGGTGCCAGAAAGTCACAGAGCAATTGAAAAGGGCCTTTTCCTTGAAAGTCATGTCCTAGAACATGCATTCTTAAGGAGGAGGATATTGCCTTCAAGGGGAAGAAAACTGGTTCTTGGGGATGAACACATACTATTCTTCTTATGCATATAGCACAGGCATACATATAGTACATACACAGATACACAGTATATTTGCAATATTAAAATGTATGGGGTACCGTGTGATTCCATTTTTATGAAATATCCAGAATTAGCAAATCCATGGAGACATAAAGTATGTTAGTGGTTGCCTAGGGCTTGGGGTAGGGAGTGGGAAGATGTTGGAGGGAAATGGAGAGTGACTGCTAGAAGGTGCAGGGTTTCTTTTGGGGTGATGAAATGTTCTGAAATTGGGGTGATGGTTGCACAATGCTGTGAATATGCTTAAAAACCCATTAAATTGTATACTTCAAATAGGTGACTTTTATAATTCATAAATTAAATCTCAATAAAGCTGTTATTTTAAAAATAGACATATGGCACCTGTGGCCCCAGTTCCACCAACTGAATTAGAATCTGTGTTTAACAAGATCCCCAGGTGATTTGTGTGCACATTAAAATTGGAAGCATCCAATAACTGTGTATGTGAATCAATGCTAATTTATAATTGTTTGAAAAAGTATACCCATGTCAAGGACTGGAATGTACTTTGCAAAAATGAAAATAGTGTAGATGAAGACAACCCCTTCTACCCACACAAAGGGTGTGGCTTACTGTAGGCCTTTAACAAATGGCAGCTCTTATAGGGACATGATACTGTTATGAGGTTTTCTGATTTTTTGTTTCAAAAATGTTCTCCAGTGTTCTTGTTAAGTCATGTTTTAGAAACCTAAAAGACAATAATGAAATTAATATACTCTGCTTTCTTTAGAACCAGAAAAAATTCATGGGGGTTGTGATTAGAAAAAAATGGTCTATAAAGATTACTGGGGTGGAGGGAGCGAGATAAGGAAAAAAGGTTGAGAAACAATGTTCTAGAATGTCTGCTCCTGAGAGTAGCCCTCTGTCCCTACCTTCTGTGCCAGGGATTCCAAGCAAAGATGCCCCCGAGGGACTACCAAGGGAATATAAATAAGGAACTGGGCTGGGTGGATTATGACAAACAGGGGAGTGCCTGTCCCATATATAAGGGCAGCTGTGACTCAGCTTTTGCTGATGGTGCCATGTGAGAATGTGTACCCAGGTCCCCAGATTTTCTAATGTTTTTAATCAGAAGTCACAAAACCAGTTAATAATGACATTTCCTAATTTTTTGGTGTTGGCAGCTAATACAAATTTTTTAAAAAGAGTAGAAGGACCACGCGAGCCAAATAAACCCATCTGAAGGAGCTGGGTAGCCAGTATGTGATCCCTAATTTAATCCAGTGTTTGTTGATTTGCATAAAGTTTTAAAAAGTTTCAATTAAAACACAAAAGATGTATATTAATAAAATGGCTATCATAGTCTTATGTAATCTTATGATATCTGCCTTTTTATTTTTATAGTATCAAGCAATTTTAGGTGTTTTATTGTAAAATTTTAGAGTGTAAGTGACTTTAGAAATAATGTAATGGGTCTCTTTATTTTAAAGATGAGACAATGAGAATCAAAGATTAATTAACCCATACCTCACAACCAGCTAATAG